ATACATGGTTACCATCAGCCAATAAATGTCAAGAAAAATGACCAAAGTTTACTACAGCGAGTCTCCGGGGAACATGAGCATTGTGGTTTACAGTGAGGGGAAAGAGGCCTGTGTCCCAACAACAAATAGTTCAAGGTATGAGTCGTAGTGTGCTGGCGCTGAATCAGAGCAAACAGTGGATCTGCCATGAGGCCACGAGAGGGTTCTGACTCGCTCGGTCGGAGGCACCTGTTCTGTGGGTGTATGTACGTGTGTGTGTGTGTGTCCATGTGTTTGCTTGTGGGTTTGTGTGTTGGTGCAATGCAAAATGACTTGACTCTATTCTGAGTGGATGCCATGGTCATTAGTGTGCACAACAAATGGTGCATGGGTTTGGGACATATAAAAACAATTTTAGTAGCAATTTATTTGTGCATTCTAAAGACAAACACATGTTTGTGCATTTGATTGTCCTGCCAGACAGAAAACCCACTCATAAAGAATAAAGATTTTTTTTTTTTGCTTGTTCCTTTTAACTAATTCAAATAAGTTAATGCAACACAAATATTTTGTCACCTTCATTTCTTTGGGTTTAATTTATGTCACTTATGAGCAGGGTTTCTGCAGGTTAAAAAGTCTTAATTCGCTCTTCCACAGTTTGAGGCCTTAAAAAGGTCTTAATTCAGAGCAGACACTCTTAAATTCATAAAGTCATGGCATTAAATGTTGCATGCAGTGCAAAAACAAATATCTACATCAGTTTTTGTTTACCAATATAAATATCTAAACAGCCTTAAATCAGGATTTACTTGAAATGCAAAATTGAGTTTATGATTAAAACAAGAACAAACAACAAGCAAACAGACAACAAGTTTTTTATAAATTTGTTTATTTTAGTTTATTTATGTTGGTATAATAACTCTCTTCATTTTGATTCTAGGGTTCTAGTTGGAAGCAGCACTATTCAAGCCATTTTTTAAATTGTTTTTCCAACTTTCTTATTTATTTTTTAATTTTTTTAAATGTTTTCCTTTTTTTTGGGAATATGAATTAAAAAGCAATGGAGATCGTATTTGCAAATTTAAAGTGTTTCTAGTACACTCTTCCCTTCAATTTATTGCTTAAATTGCCTTTACTTAATTCACTCAGGTTTCTATATATATATATATATATATATATATATATATTTATATTTATTTATATTTTTAAAATATGACTTGCCTTCAAACTGGATTTTTACACTTTTGGAAGAAAATGTAAGTGTTCACCCCATGCAGCACTGAATGTTGTGGGTGCCAGATTGTTTCAATATAAGTCTATTGGTGCTTTCTTCATACCGATTTTATCATATTCCAGGCCAATATCGTACATCCGATTGTGTAGAAATTTTTGTGAACAAACCACACAGTTTGAGGAATCATAAATATCTTTCTTTAATACTCAGGGTTAGGGGTTTGTTCATTTCTAACCCTAAGTATGAGCAACAGAAGGGATGCTCGCCTTAGCAAATACCACTAAGTATAAAAAATGATTTTTAAGGGTTTCTGAGGGAAAATACAGGTGGCAACAAGATTTTCCAGTGACACTTCTGGTCAGCTTAACCAAAGCAAGAAAAGCCTTGGCTCTGTAGCAATGAATCCATCTCAAAGATTTTGTGCCGGGTTGACTGGTTGATGTGCAAATGATCTGCTTTTCCAGGAGCCGAAGTGGAAAAAGCACAAACAAACAGAAGACTTCATAAATACAACTGAGTCATTTCCTAACATTTGGCTGGCCTGGCCTTCATATACACACATAGGGCCTCTATTCCGTCCCGTTTTCCAAAAAACCAACCCCCTCCCCGCTCACACACACACACACACACAAACAAACAAACAAAATCTAATAATGTAATAGAATAATGTGTTCTTTAAAGGGAGGTAAGAATTAGACCCATCATTTCTGGGTTTGTCGGTCACTCTGGAAAAGTCATTTCTGTGTGCTTCTTTCCTCTTTCAGCAACATGTGGATGCGTGGCTTTTTGATGTGTTTTGAGCTGCTCCACAGCCGCTCCGTTTCCAAGTGTGCTGGACGTCATCGTACGGATGCTTCACAGAAAGGCGTAGTGAACCTCCTCTCAAATTAGCGTGCCGCTGTGGGATAACAAAGGCCTTCCGATCCGCCGCAGACCCTGTCCGAACTTCAGCGTCCCTCTGGCACGTGGCCAGCAGTCATATTCCAGCTCGGTCGGGTTCCCCTCATCAAAGGTACACGCTGCATAGTTTCCAAACGCAGACCGCCAGAAATCTGGAAATCGGATTCTGATGCTGCATGAATCTGGTCAGAGGAACTACAGATACTTTCGGTGTGGTTTGCACTCAGTGAGACAAATCAAATTACTGTTCCTTGCCTAACTGAATCCCTCCCAACCGATGCCCAGACTGATGCTCGCAAAACCATATGGTTGTATTTCCCGACCTTTTTTGATGCTTTAAAAAGAAAATTGGCTGAACGGACTGTTCTATTCGCTAAGGTGCATCTTTACTCAACATGTCATTGTATAGTTTAACTGAAACAGTCTGAGTTCATACTGCAATTGTTAAAGGCAGATTTTCGTGTTAGACATCAATGGGTGTTAAAAACATTGGAGCACAACTAGTTTCCGTGTAGTTTCTGTAAAACAACTTCATTGCGAATGGCAACCATCCAATGACCAAGGTCATTTCCGCTGTACAGTAACTTTTGAACTATGCTATTTAAAATTTAAATTCAAATTTTTACATTTAAATGGTTAAAAAATGTAAATCATTCAAGCATTGAAAATGATATATAAATTGTTGCATGCTTGTTACTTTTATAAATACATTAGCTATGATTTTAAATATACAGTAACTTTTGAACTTTGTAGTTTGAAAAAAAATTATGCATGCAACAATTACTAAAAATAACAGTAACCGTTATTAAAAGTAATATAAATTGTTCCATGCATGATATTTTTACATAAAAATAAATAAATAAATATATATACTGTCTATATATTATATATATATATATATATATATATCAACTTTTTAATATATATATAAGGTTGTGGAAATGAAAAGTTAATATTTGTGAAATATTACTTTTAAAAATATTACATTTAAAATGATTAAAATATTAGCGACTTAAGACTGGTTTTGTTGTCCAGGGTCACATATATATTATTATTATTTATTTATTTATTATTATTATTATTTATATTATTATTATTATTATCACAAATATATTATTATTCATCTAGATGAATAATAAGGACATAAAATATTACTTGGTAGGACTGGCCCAGCTGAGGTACGTCCATGTGAAACCAAAGCATAGTATGCCACTGATGTAGTTGTTTGGCAAATGCAAGGAATGAAATGTTTTATGGCTCTCTGGAGTGACCCTGACCCTGCTCTAGTATTCGCCTGATCTCTTGGGTAGTAAGAAGTCAAAGGGTCGGACCTTGTAGACTGACAGAACAGGACGGACGAGGGGAAATGCATGTTAAATGTCAAACATGGCAGGGGAGTTGTATTGCCATACAACTCAATTAAAGCTTTATGGCCTCTTTAAAGACAAACCATTAAATCTAACACTCCCTGAGAATGTTTCCCTACTCTATGAGCGCTCGGGATGGAGGAAGTCAGCTTTTACCGTTGCATGAAATGTAATTTTCATTAAAAGCATTCATTCTGGGGGTTTTAAAGGAAAACAGTTCCTTCTGGGGCTGAGTGAATATCTAGTGAATAGAAACCACAAAGGCTGTTGAGTTTTTCCATACCAGCGCTGCGGTTTGGTCTATACAATGACAAACTAACGTAGCAATAAATAGAAAACTTCTGAGTAAACTTCAGATTGGAAAGAAATAGCCAAACACACATAATTATGCTAAAATCAAAGCTGTTCAACCCTCAGTGGGCCCCAGGGTCATTGTGATTTATTATTTAGAAAACACATTTCAATGTTTCTGCATGAATATTTGAGTTTAGATGAGATGTGAATCATGTCTAGAGTACCAGTGCAGTAGTTTCCTAGAACTGCATCACAGAATGACACTTGATTGCGCATAATTACATCTGTGCTTCTGATGTGTTCCAGATTGATCCATCGTTGGACAAACTATCCAATGGATGTCAATGGTAAACCCATTTAAAACATAACTTTGTGGAAATATTTTTGGATTCACTTCACTAAAGTTGACCGTGCCAAAAATTCCACTAATATGACCATTCGTACTTATAAAACAAAACTTAAAAATGCATTTTCTTGAATGTTTCTTTTGAGATCACACAGTGCCCTCCCAGAGTTTAGAAACACCCTAAACAAGGTAGTTTTGGACAAAATCAGAATGCACTGTTTGGCATAAATGCATTTAAGCAGCTTGATATTATAATTGAAAGCCAGCAATGAGGATTTTCTATTCAATGACATCATAATGGTATTTTATACACATCACAGCAGCTGCCTGTGATGCCTGATTACTGGATTAAACTCTGTCTAGGTTTCTGAAGATTATCAGGTCAACACATTTTCATAGCTAGCTGATCAATAGCTAATTTTAGTTTAGTACACAGCAAATCAAATAAAAACCAATTAGAGATGCTTAAGTAGATGCATTTTCTCTGTAGTTAGAAGAATGTCTAAAGTGGACTATCAAAATATAGTGTTACCCATTTTTTAATAATATAATATTAAAGATTGTTTTATAGATTGTGTCGTCCCTAATCAATTGAAAGTCATCACAAAATGATAAATAGTTATGCTGATATTGCCTTCAAAGCAGCATGTCTCTGATTCTGTACCCGCTTGATTCTTAAGGCCCATTCACATTAAGAACAATAACTCTAATGATAATTATATTAGCAACAACATCAATGCACAACAAAGTTCTGTATTCTATAAGCACGCGCTGCAATCAGGTAAAGTCTTATGTTTTTATTGTTTATCAGAAGGATAGAAAGGAAGAAAATCATTCTGAAAGTGATATTATTTCGGCGTCATTAGTTGTGCTATGGACTTCCCTATTCTAAATAGAACTAGAATGATTATTAAAACTTTATAGTTATAGTATTTGTTGTGAACAGGCCATTATTCAATCAGACTATCACCGTTTAGACCTGTCTGCACAAAATCCAGTATTGCATAAGTAACCACAGGGTCTATGCAACAGCGTGTTTGTTACATCATGACTTTTAAAGAGAACTTCATCATCCATGGTTTATTTTTTGGTTTCAAAGAATGTATTCCCAGATGCACACTGAATGAAGATCATATATTTTTTCATGATAAATACACATCATTTACAAATAAAGTGGTTATGCAATAAATACATCATAAAAATCTGAGCATTATACTTCATGTGCAATAGCACTCATTTTGAAATGTACATGGGACAGGGAAAAAAACATCTCCAAAGCCACTGGAAAAAGCAAGCACTCTCATTAAAATATTTATTTTCCCATTTTTTTCAGTCAACATAAATATATTCATATATATTTCTTTTCTTCCTCCAAAATAGCTCTTTGAATGTTCTTTTGTATAAATAAAAGTCTTCATTGGGGAGATGTAGCTCTCATCGGCACCCGCAGCCCTCCACCACCATGTCCTGGTAGTTTTTAAGAATGACTTTCTCGTACTCGTCCAGGTACAGCAGCGATATGGGACTGAGCTCCGTCGGGACGCAGCACGCTCTGGGAATATTGGTATTGACCGAGTTCACCAGCGTCTGGACGATGGCGTGATTGGTGGAGTTCAGGTGGTCCGACAGCGGGAAGGGACACTCGCCGTGACAGTAGAAAGCGTGGTAGCCGGGTGGCGCCACAATCCACTCGTTCCAGCCCACGTCGCTGAAGTCCACGTAGAGAGCGTGCCGCCTGCAGTTTGTACGCTGCTGCTGCTTCCTGCGCTGCTTCTGCCTTTGCCGCACCTGCCGTTTCTCTCGGTTCGAATGCAGTACGGCGGAGCCCTGACCGTCGTGGCTGTAGGTCACCAGCAGGGGTCGGGCCTGCGCCCATGAGTTCTCGTCCACGTGAAGGGAGCGACTGACCCTCACGTGCCTCCTCTGGTTCCTCTCGACCTCCGCGGATCCTTCCGACTCCTCGGGATGGAGCACTTCCACCAGGAGCCCATGGTTGTGCTGGGATTCGCGGGCCCAGCGAGCCACGGCCGAACCCACGTCAAAGCTCTCCCAGCGTGTGTGAGAGTCCTGCACCAGACGGGTGTCGAGAAGTCTGGTAAGAGGCTCTTTGGAAGGGGCCAGTGCTGGCCTGAACACCTCGTAAATGTTAATTCGGTGGAAACCACTCGCACCGGCGCCACCGAGAACCTGGTCCCTGAAAATGCGCAGCTCCGCGGCCGTGATCAGCTCCTCGGCGGGAACGGAGGTAAGGTTGAAGAAAAACTGCTGCGTTGTTTTTCCTTTCAGGCTGGACAGTGCCTCCAAAGCCTCTGGAAGTGCAGAAGAAGAGTCTGTTAGGATCGTGTCAACAAATTGGTCTACAACAAAAGAATACTGTTGGATTCTGAAGCACTTCAGGCTGAAACCTGACATTTTCGCTTTGACCCTAAATAGGATTTTCCACTCAGCATTTTCTTGTCTGGCCTGAGTGAGAGATTATACGGTAGAACCAGGTGTTAAAATGAAAGGCTAGCTGCGAGCGCGAGGCTGTTTGTGTGGCTGTAGAGTTACAACATTCTCTTGTTTCCAAGTCTTTATTGAATAAAGGTTGCAATCAGCGAAGGAACAGCTACTCCTACGACTCAATGCCCTAAAATAAAACGCTCTCAGACCAAAGAGCTTGCTTAATCTCTTTTGAAAAGAGACGTTTTGGAAATTCCATTCCCAATAATCCAACCTATCTGCTTCATAATCACAAAGAGCCTACAGAAGATAAGCACACTTTATTTGATGTGGGAAAGCCCGGCTCTTTCTTTCCCTCATTCTGTCTGTCTTTCTTCACCTTTTCCATTTTTCTCCCAGTCAATCCGTCTTTTGGGGGAGTGACTGCGAACATGTTGGGGCTTGCCGAAAGAAGTCAGCCACAGTTATGAGTGTATTGACATTCCTAATTTCTGTTTGTACATTATGCCAAAACAGCAAATCGTACATTTATGATGGCTACCTTGAAAACTGACTGCATATCTCGGCTGAGGATCTCGACATCAAATTAAAGTTATTTCAGCAGCGCCTTTTGGATGGAACTTTAAAAACGATTACATAATATTACGTCGAAAACCTTTTGAGGGATGTAATAAAAATCCAGTCAGGTCCTCAACCACAGAGTTCACCAAATTAAAACAATGAGAGAAGCCTGAGGCGTAGGAGGTGCTCAATTACTACAGAGGGCACGAGAAAAGCCTCATTTGGAGTAAACAAGGAAGACATTTAATACAAATGCTTAAATTGCTTGTTTCAACATGAGCACACAAAACGCATCCTTGTATGCAGTGTGTCGGATCGACCACTGGATGTCATCCATCCGAATCTGTGCCATTTTACAGGGCCGCCTAAACAGCCTGTAATGACTCTCGTATGGATCCCTCCCCCTCTCTTTACCACAGTACAGCGAGTTAGCGTGATTTTTCCCGTGTTGCCATGAAACTAAAGTGAAATGTTTCTAAATTGTGTGCTATAGTTTATGTTGACCTCTAAACAGACTCCACAAAGAAGACTTCATGAACAAGGCCAGTGACTTTCACAGGCTCAACTCACGACTGTTTAAATCAGATAACACGCCTAAAAGAGACTTAATTGACATGCCACCTGATCACACTCGGGTTGATTTCATTATAAAAAAACAGATTCTGTTTCTAGAGAATTCAAATCTGACCATTCAAAAAGGCCACCCACAATCCCTCGACTGGCTCAAGCAGTTAGGCTAGAATTACTCGGGCATGTGATAAAGAGTTGAGCAAAGCTAAACACACACACGCATACAGTATCTGTACAAAAGTTGGTGCAGAAACAAGCCCCCCCATTGATGGCTCGAAAACATCAATGACAGAACTTGATGGAGAACAGCAAAACTACCATCCTGGATTTCCTCACAAGGCCTGTTACTGTAACCTGTGGATTCTTGGAAAATAACTAGTGCATGAACTCCATACCTCGTCTAGAAAACTACTCTAAGTGCACTCAGACACTATCAATTATTTGCAGTAAAGTCACCGTTAGGATGCATTTTTTGCTTCCTTAATAATAGTGAGAGCTGTTTGTGGAATGTCAATAGTTTCCAAATGGTTGCATCACACCATTCCTTGGAATTCTAGAAAGTTCTGGGAATAAACAAACATTCAAACTGAAAATTTGAGTCATTTCATTTCAAATAAACCTGGAACAGCATATTCACAACCAAAATCAGGCCTCACCTTCGTGATGAAAGCTTCGTATTGTATTCGCTCTGCTGGCCTCCCGTTCCACATGCTTTCCCGTAGTGCTCCTCGGGCGCCGGATGTTCGGGTCATCGTTTTCAGAGTGCATATAATACAAGTCCAGCATGTACTGAGGGACCACCGCCGATTTGCTCGGCGTGGGTCTTCGCTTCAGTCCGAACATGTTGAGCAGCCGTAGCTCGAACTCTTTCAGGAAGTTAATATCGGATCGCTCCGGCATGTGTCTCCCCGAATCACTGTATTTCCGTCGGTCGATCTCGGGAATGAGTCCAGCGGCACCTCCCAGAAACACCTGACCGAGCAACAGCACCGTGAGAGCGCGGACCACGGCGACCATGATCAGTCAGTTCCTGCAAAGAGGAAATGCCAATTGACCATTTTTATTCTTCTTAGAACCATTTTATTGGTTTAAAAAACAGTTTTACAGCATTATGTCATAGGAGAACCTTTTTAGGTTCCAAAAATAACTTTTTATTCTCTTGTTTCTTTAGAAAACCATCTGCTTTAAAGAAGCCAGAAACCAATGCACTAACCTGAAGAACCAGCGATGTAAAATCTCAAGAAACTTGAACACTAAAAAGTTATTTTTACTGTTTTAAAGAAGTTATTTTATCCTTTAAAGAACATTATTTTTTTTTAAATATACAGTACATTTCTTGTAGCTACAGCCCCCCTGGAGCAATCAAGTGTTAAGTGCTTGCTCAATGGCACAATGGGTCATAGATCACCCCTAGATAGGTTTGAACCTCCAATCACTCTTAGAAGTTAAAGGTTTGTTTGGTTTTTATGGAATACCTGTTCCTTTAAGTCCTAAAACACTTTAATAGCGGCCCAGAGCTCCAACCACTTATATGCATGGAAAAGATCCCTAGCCACATTCAACCTGCGGCTGCCTCAAACCACAGACATATCTAGATCTTTTGGAGATGTCTTTGAGGCGATGAACACACACGCATGCAAAAAATTAAGAATAATATCCCTGCTGCAGGCTATAATAAGAGATTGATCTACAGTGAAAGCACCAGACTCCAAAGAGGATGTCAGACAAATGGGATGAAACAGGAAAGAGTGAATCAAAAGAAATCG